TTGTTGAGGAGGGTCAAGGAAAGGTTTACATAAGGAGGGAAATTTTCTTTGTTGGTTGCCAGGGGTGGGAGGGGAGGGGAGGGAACATTGCAAAAAAAAAAAAAAAAAGTGACCCATGTCACTTTAGTTTTGTGTATTTCACTGTACATAAATTATATTTCAATAAAATGCATTAAAAAAAAATCTGACTCATAGCAACCCCTCTTTGGGTTTCCAAGGTGGTATCATTATGGAAGTAGATTGCTCAATCTTCCTTCTGAGGAGTGACTGGTGGGTTTGAACTGCCAGTCTTCTGGTTTGCAGTCAAATGCCTTAGACACTATGCCACCAGGACCAAAAAATACCAAACTCTGCCATCGAGTCGGATCTGACTCATAGCGACCCTCCTTGGGTTTCTGAGGTGGTATCACTACAGAAGCAGATAGCCCAACCTTCCTTCTGAGGAGTAGCTGGTGGGTTTGAACCACCAGCCTTCTGGTTAGCAGTCAGATGCTTAAGGCACTACAGCACCAGAGCTCCTAGGAGGTAAGTTTTATTGTTATTCCCATTTGAAGGGGAGGACACTTGAGAAATGGAAAAGTGTCATAATGTCTAAGACCATACAGTCAGTTGGGGTGTGTGGGGTTGGGGGAAGTTTGGCTTCAGAATCTTTATTCATAACTGCAGCTCCACACAAAAAAGGCTGAGTGCACTGGTGTGAAAGGAGAGAAGAATATGGATAGTGAAAGCCATGGCTTCCTTGGCTTTGGCTCCTGGAGACATTTTGAAAGCTAGGTTGAGTGGAAATCTTTAGATTGTGGCCCCAAGTCCTGAAGTCTAAGTCAATCTACTGCTTAGCTCACCAAGTGTGACAGATCTTTGTGGCCAGTGGGAATCCCTAAAGTGACTCTTCTGCTCAATGCCTTAGCTTCTGCCAAAGAAGCCTTAAAAATTCCACTTTGTATATTTTGGCATCACAGCTATTCAAGTGTATTACTACAGAAGTCTAAATAAAGTTGCTAGCATATAAATTCTGGGTCTCTGATTGTCTTCTACTGAAAAACAAAACAAAACAAAAACAAAAACAAACCCACTGCCCTCACAGTGACGCTTCAGGACAGAGTAGAATTCCCTGAATTGTTTCCAAGGCTGTAAATCTTTATGGAAGCATACCGCCTCATCGTTATCCCCTGGAGGGACTGGTAGGTTCAAACCACTAACCTTTTGGTTAGCAACCAAATGCCTTAAGCACTGCACCACCAGAGCTTCTTTCTACTAAACAGAACTTGTACATCCAGCCATTATTATTAGAGTGCATCAATGGAATATTCTTATACCCTTTTGAATTGTAAAGTACTTTGAAAAGTGAAAGTATTTCCTTTTTCTGAAAAAGTATGGAACCCTTAATGCTTTTTAGGCCAGGAGCACATTAGGTAGCAAATTATTTCAAGCCTACATTCTTTGCTTGATTCCTTACAACTGGTGTTAAAATTATGTGAATTTTTTTTTTGTCAGTTATCAGTTTTTAATTTTGTTAAGCTATGTCTGCAAAAAAGAGTGAAAGAGCAAGCACGTGCATACAAGAGAGACATAGGAAAAGCTGTTACCATTTTAAAAGAGACAGATGTAATCTAAATAAGTAGATATAGCTCAATGTATAATTCATTGAAAAAAAGAAAGCATTTCCATTGTTCATGCCTGACGGAGTTCTCTGACATTGCTTGAAACACAATTGACAATAGTTGAAGTTTCTCCTTGGCTCTTCAACAAAGTTGGGCAACATGGAAATTTACTAAACTCCATTTGTCTGGACAGACCTCTGTAGAATGTGACACCAATTTCCTGTTGGGAAAACAAAAAGTAAATTCAGAGCTAGAATAAAGATCTCTGAACCTGTACCAGTCCTTGGGAGTGGCTGCTCTGTATGTCCAACCTCCATGGCCTTTTTGATATACCAGATGATGGTTCTCAACTCAATCCTATCCTCAGGATTTTCTGCCTTCTCTTGCATTTTCTATACTCCTGCCAAAGTTGTTTTGCCTTCTGTGTATTAGCACTGGAAGGATCCCTGAGTCATTCAGCCTCAAATCTCTCATTTTACAAAAAAAGAAAATAGGCCCACAGAGATTGAGTGGTTTGCTCAAGGTCACATAGTTCATTCCTTTAAGAAATGAGTCTCTAGTTTGAGTCCTTGCCCAATATAATTTCTTGACACCATACTGCCCCATTTTTATACAAACTCTTCTATTTAAAGTTTCAAGTTACTTGAATTCTCCTTCTATGCCTGTTTTTGTTTATACTGCTAAGGTAATAGGAACCATAATTTATGGATGGTTATTTCTGTGTGTCAGGCACTTTCCTAAGTACTTGACACATTATGTTGCTTCCAACCACAATCCTGTAAGGTAATAATATTATTGCTGTTTTCTCATTTTAAAGATGGGAAAACTGAGGCAAAGATAATACAACTCAAACCAAAAAACCAAACTCATTGCCATTGAGTCTATTCCGACTCATAGTGACCCCCATTGGGTTTCCAAGGCTGTAAATCTTTACAGAAGCAGACTGCCTCATCTTTCTTCTATGAAGCAGTTGGTGGCTTTGAACCACTGACCTTTTGGTTAGCAGCTTAGCCACCAAATGTCTTAACCATTACACCATCAGAGCTCTTACGATACTACTACTAGGATTTAATAATACCATCTGGAATTTAATCTTAGGCCAGACTCTGTGCTTGATCACTCTCCTAGCCTACTTCTCATTTTCCAAAACTATGTATTTATTTAGCTTTTTATCTCTTTATTGAATTTGTCTCATTCTTTTTCTTATTTTTATCTTCTGGTTGAACTAAATTTTTTTTTTCTTTTCCTTCAGTGTCAACTTTTAACAAAGTGATCTAATACAATTTGGCCTATATTATTTCAGTAAGTTTAACTCTCAGAACACTGTTGACTAGAAAAAAATAACTGCAAAAATAAATTTAAAAGCATGCCATCTGTTTAGCTATGGGAATAACCTTTTCTCTAATTTGTAAAACCTGTTCAGTGATCTTGTGTCTTATAAATATTGGCAGCGAATTGTACAGGAACTGATTTATGGTGTTGAATGTATTAGTATTCAATAAGCATAATTATAAACTTTTAAAATCTCTAGTAAAAACGTGACAATATTGTTGTCTTTAAAATTCAGAGCCACAGAGTTAGGCTAGATGTTTTAAGTCAATTAAAGTGCATTTGCATCAGTTACTAGGAGACTTTACCTCCTGTGTCATTTTTACATAAATCAGAAAAAAAAAGTCTGTAGATATAGTCATTTAGAAAGAGGAAATGGATAGTAGATTCAGAAAGGATGTTTTGATATTTTATTCATAGAAGCCTTTTCAGCCTTGATGAACAGCAACTACATCAAAAAAGGGTTTCACTTGTCTCTGCTGTGACTATAGACTCTATATTGATAGATAAGGATACAGCATTGGCTATCTAGCAAAGCATACTCAAATTTTTGTTTTGAAGAAAAACCATTTTGTTTGATGCATCCTGTAACTTGTATAAGTTTATTGCTCTAAACGTAGGATTACAGAAAATGTTATCAACTGATCTCATTTTAGGATTAATTCTAATTTATTTCTATGTGCATTATTTGTGCATGTGTACAAATACATGGAAAGTATCTGGAAGAATACACACTCAAACATAACAGTGGTTGCCTCCAAGGAATGGAAATGAGGTTGAGGGATGTTGTTGAGGGATGTTGGGATCAATAAAGCTCTGCCACCTTTTACTCTTTGTATTTCTGTGTTGTTTGATGCTTTTTTCTATAAGCAAGTGACTTTTGCAAAAAAAAAAAAAAAAGTAAAATCAATATTATTATAATAAAACTTTCTTGTATTCCAGTTCCCCAGCCTCCTAGATTAGAACCTCAGGAACCAAATTCCGCCACTAGCACAACGATTGCCGTTTATTGGAGTATGAACAAGGAAGATATCATTGACTCATTTCAGGTTTACTGCATGGAGGAGCCACAAGATGACCAAGAAGTAAACGGTAGGGTTATGATTTGTAATAAACACACAAATGTGTGTGCATGCCTGCATTTCTGTATCTTAATGTGAAATATTTGAACACATACATATTACAACTCTTTCCATTAAGCATTTAGAAGCACTTACCAAACAAATATACACAAACAAAAACAATCCACATATGATGAAATAACTTACAGCAAAATTTGGAAATCAGGATCGAGGACAACAGAAAATGCATAAATAGCACAATGGTCAGTCAACATGTATATTGTGATTGAGAGTCACATTTAGCTTTGAGTTCTTAAGAAACAAGAGCAATAAATGATTCTCAATTTCAGAAAGGAGATAACATGCTAACTACAGTTTCAGAGAGAGCAAAGTTTTAACTAACACTGAAGTCTAAAAGAAAAATTTAATGTGTTCCACTTGTAGAAGGAAATGAGCTATTTAAAAGACAGTGTTCTCTACAATATCTTTAATGTAAGTACAGCATTGGATATCCTGATTGTCAGTGTGTCGCCTCCACTTTGGATAAAAGTTACAATCAAACCATAACGGTTAATTAAGTGTTTGCAATTCTAGGCATGGGCCTAGGTTTGATGCGGTCTTTGGTGTCCCTACTTAATGTGTGAATAGATGTGAAAGCACTTCTTAGTAGGTTGAATAGATAGCATGCCTTACAGTTGAGCCTCTGTAAACGTCTCTCTGTTTAATAGTACTTCTCATAGGACATAGAAGCCAAGCAGTTGGAGGTTGTGCTTCCTGATGAATCAGAGCTAGGAGCTGCTGTTTGTTGAAGACAGACATACATACTTTAGGACCCACACAAGCAAATGGCAGAATTGACATCCTATTACAAAAGTCAGGGGCCTGATATGTAATGGGGATGAATGGTAATCTATTTCACTATTACTGGTGTTTAAGTCTTTTGAGATATCATATGATACTTATTTAGATTAGAAAAAAGTTTTTTTTTTTTTAAAGCCAACTTTATGTATAGTGGAAAGTTGGCTAAATTTATCTATTAACTACTAACCGCCATTGTCACTGAATTGATTCCGACTCATAGAGACCCTACAGGACAGAGTAGAAGTGCCCCATAGGATTTCCAAGGCTGTAAATCTTTAAAGCAGTATACTGCTGTGTCTTTCTTCCATGGAATAGCTGATGGGTTTGAGCTGCCAGACTTTCAGTTAGCAACCACTGCATTACACCTATTTTACTGAGAACCTATTGCCATATGCCTATCACAACACAAGGAGATAAGTGTTATTACTTCCATTTTATAGACAAAAAAACTGATATGAGGTTAAGTAGTTTGTCCAAGGCCACACAGCCTGTACATAACAAGGGCAGGATACAAACACAAACCTTTCAGACTCCAAAGCTCATGTTTTTCCTTGTGTGTTTGTTTCATTACACCACACATCTCTGTCTTTGCCCTATGCATGTCTTCTGTCTCTTTCTCATTTACCCCAGCTATGTGATGAAACTTCGTGGCTATCCAAGATCCCTTTTAACTCCCTGTAGTGTTTTTTAACATGCTTCAGCCCCCACTCCCACCCCACACCTATTCTGTGTCTCATTTTTCAGTACCTTGAATTTTGCTGAATGACAGTTAACTAATCTGATGATCTACAAAGTGAAACTCTGATACTGTGTCTTAGGTCTCCAGTAACTTATATTGTGTGTTACGTGCATTGTTAAAAGGAGTGCTGGGGTGACAGGACTTAGCTTACAGAAATGATTCCACTGAAAACTGCAGTTGCAGTTTGTGAGCTGTGGGGGAGAGGTTTTTCCATGTACAAGACCATATGACATATTTGTCCAGAAAGTATAGCTAACTGGAAAAGAGAGGGGCAATTGAACAGACCATACAAAGCCACATTGCTGCTAAATTTTCCTTTAAAAGGAAACAATGAGTTTCTTAATTGAAGGAGTTATGAGATTGTGATATTAAAGAATAATAAGCAGGGATAACTGAAATGACCACAGACTGATATAATAAAGAAAACAATTATTTCACAGGGAAGAAAATTTCTGTAAGAAAAATCAGAATGGCCCAAAGGGTCGTGTGTTCAGAATGGTATTGAGTAACATTTACTTGTAAAATATGGGAGGTAAAATAATTTAAGAAACAAAAAGGAAAATGTCTTGATTAAACAAAATTATTTATTAAAATAGGTTGTGACCTATCAAATTAATTTAAGTATTTCTATAAATTGTATAGTATTTCTATAAATTGTATGTATTTCTATAGTTGTAAATAAATTGTATGCTACCAGGAGCTCTGGTAGCATAGTGCCTAAGGCACTTGACTGCTAACCAGAAGGCTGGCGGTTCAAACCCACCAGCCACTCCTCGGAAGGAAGGT